GTTGGCACAACTGAGGTTGCTATGGGCCTGAAGGAGGGAGGACTGAGGGCTTTTGGGTTCTTGGGCTCCTCTCTTGTGAGCACTGATGAGCTCCAGGCTGAGCCAGGGAAGGAGGCAAAGAGATAGCAGACAAGAACCAGAGGCAGAAAATTAAACAGAGAAAGTCACAGGGAGAGAGAGACAGAAGCAAGAAATGGTGATGGGGAAGAAATGGAGACAGAGAAATGCTGGCTGGAGCAGAGAAGAGACAGAAAGGATGCCCCAGAAAAGGAAACTCAAGGAGAGAAACCTGGAGAACAGAAGAAGCAACCAAGGATGCCGCTGTTTGCAGCGGACTCGTGCAGAAGCCTCACGTCAGGAGTTTATCATTGATCCCATTTTTGGGGAGGGATGTGGAAACTGAGGCTCAGAGAACATACGGCACTTGTCCAAGGTCACACAGCTAATAAATAGTGGGCCCAGGACTCAAAGCTAGGCCTGACTGATTCCACACCCTTCACTCCTTGTACAAGGGAAGTCTATAGGGCAGAGACTGCGATGGAGGGAGAGAGAAAACACAAGCAACGGGTGGACACATGAAAAGGGAACATTCTGCTTCACTTGAAAAAGACCACAAACTTCCATAATCCTTAAGAGAAGAGGGAAGGGAGAAGGAAAGTCCTGGCCTGGAATGACCGACCCAAATCTACGGAAAAGGAGACGGCACCACAGACAGGGCCAGGCCATGAAGAAACTCAAATACCTTCAAGTCATGGAATATTTATGACACCTACCCTGTGCCAGGCCCCATATTGGGTGCTGGCATCATGGAGATGCACCAAACATGCCCCACTCCTGCCTGGAGGGAGAAGAGGACACATAAATAAATAAGAGACTGTGTCCTAAAGGCCAAAACACCAATCCAGAAAAAACATAAAGGCAGCAGGGGTTGAACCAGCCTAGGGGGTTGGGAAACAACATCAAAGAAATTATTTCTGAATCTGGAGTTTCCCAGGTAGGCAAGGCAAGGAAGAGCATTTCGAGCAGAAGGAGGAGGCCGCAGAAAGGCACAAGACATGGAAGTGCTGGGAAAGGTGGGTATCAGGTGCAATTGGATCATAGACGGCACACAGTCCAACAGCAGGAGATAAAGACAACGTGGGAGTCAGTGCAAAGCGTCTTGAATGCAAGGCCAGGACAACTGGACTTGAACCCCTCCATCACTGGTTCTCAAACTGTGCCCCTGGGGTAGCCAGGTATTCCTCAAGCCAAGCTGAGGGTTTCTGCCATTGAATTAAAACCATAGCCATCTTTTTCTAATTTGCAAGAAGGCAGGTTAATTACAATGAATAGAATTTTCTTTGTTTGAAGGTGTTTTTCCTCCATACCTTTTTCCAAAGACTTTAGTACATGTGTGAGAGAATGATAGAATTAGCATAGAATCGTAGTTTCACTTTGTTTTGTTTACAATTTTAAGTTTAATATATCAATAGTTCATGGAGTTCTACAAAGAACTGTAGCTTCTGGTTCTCCCTGAGTATTGGGGAGTCACAGAAGGACTTTAAGCAAGGGAAAGACAAAATGTGATCTTTCTATTAAAAAAAAAATTATTCCAGAGGCCTGAGAAAGAAGGAATTGGGAAAGGAGAGAGAGGGGAGAGGATCTCAGTTAGGAAGAAGGCCGTTGACATCATTCAAATAAGAGCCGATGGCCTGGACTGAAAGTGAGGGCTGTCGGGATGGACAGGTGGGCTAAATCCGGCCCCACGGAGGAAGACCTACTGATGATTCTCCAAGTTTGCTGGCAGGGCTGCCCAAGTAATTCAGAGGACCCAATTTGATAGAGAACATAATGTCAACAGCTCAGTGTCACCTAGGGAGTCTTCCAATAGAAGGAGACCTATGTGTCATCGTGAAAATAGAAGATAAGCAAGACTGGGTATTGTGTGTGTGTGTATGTGTGTGTGTGCGCATGTGTGTTTGTGTACACACAGTATGGGACCAAGTCTTTCCCCTATCATGGGACGTCAACTTTCTTTAATAATAAATCGAAGTACAAACACTTTTTGAGCTCATACTATGAGCCAGACCCTAGTCTGGATGTTTTACATGTGATGTTTTTCATTTAATCTTCATGATAACCTCCAATATCATTTATCAAATGCTTTCATGTGCCAAGCATTGTGCTAAGTGCTTCAAGTTGAAACAGATACTATTATTTCCTTCATTTTAAGGATGAGGAAATAGAGACACAGAGAGGCCAAGTGACTTGCCCAAAATCAAACGGCTGGAAAGTGGCAGAGCCAGGACTCAAAGCCAGTTTTGCTGGAATCCAGCTCCTGCACCCTCCATCACAGCACTTTGCTTTCTTCTCTTCCTCAGAGGAAAGGCTCTGAGCTGGCAGGCTTTGGGTCAATAAAATCCAGAGAAAGGAACTCTTCTTTATCCTTCAAAGCCCTGGCTCAGTGTTTCTCCAAGTCTGTTCCCTGGGCCACCTGCCTTGGAATATTCTTACGAGCTTGTAAGAAATGTAGATTCCTGGACCTCTCCCCAAGATTCTAATTCAGTAGGTCTGAGGTGTGACCTCAGTTGATTTTTATGTACATCGAAGATTTTGAGTCACAGGACTGGCTCCAACAGCACTTCCTCCAAGAACCTCTATCCAGCTACCATCCCGGAGCACCTCTGTCCTTCAGACTCCAGCAGCGTCCTCTGTCCTGTCTATCATTCAACTGGGGTTTTAGTTATGCTCATGTCTTCCCTCCACTGAAAATATGATCTAGCATCTTTCCCAGGCTACATCTTTTTACAAAGCACTTCCACTGTCTCACTCAATCCCTTTCTACACTGTGAGCGTTCTGAGAGGAGTTTCTCCTCCTTGTGACCCCTCCCTTCTATCTAAACACACTTAGCTTTTTACGATGTACTCTCTCACCCACGATAACGTTATTTTATTGTTTCATCCAATCCTCACAACCACCTTCAAGGTATATTCTCCCCATTGTACGGCTGAGAAGGCAGACTCGGAGTTTTAGCCACTTACCCAAGGTGGCTAAGCTAGGAAGCGGCAGGCCTAGGATTTGAACCTAAATCTTCTAACTCCAAGCCCAGTACTCTTACTTCCACGTCAGTTTACATCTACTGAACTCAGTGTAGCGAAGCAAGCTTGGCCCCCTAAAATGTTAGAGGGTAGCGGGGATTAAAGGAGATGAAGCCTGAAAGAGCCTGGCACAGTCAGCACTCAATAAATGGTGGGGAGGAGAAACTGAGGCCAGGGGAGGGTAAACGACTACCCCAAAATCAAACACCAAATCGCATACTGTAGACACAGCTCTAGGTCTGTCCCAGACGCTCCTTGTTGGGAGATCAACTTTGGCGGGCTCGGAATTCCGCCACTGCCTCAAGTCCCTTCACCGCCCAACCCTCGCTCCCGGTGCAGTTTCACCAGGCGCCACTGCGCGGGCAGCGGCGGAGGATGGCCCTTTAACAGGAGCAAGGGGCGTGGCCACGCGACGGGGCGGGGCGGGGCGGGGCGGGGCATAAGCGCGCGGTCGCGGGAAGATGACGCTTCCGGGACATCCAGCTCTGAATTGACTGGAGGGAGCATGTGGGTCTGCCGCGCGCTGTGCGGGGCTCGAACCCCTACCCAGCTGCGGCGGACGCTGCTGCCTGCTTGGGACCGCCGCCGGCCTGCTGCCGCCTCCTACTCCGCCTCTGCCGAGCCCTCCCGGGTCCGGGCGCTGGTCTATGAGCATCACGGGGACCCGGCCAAGGTCGTCGAGTAAGAGATGGCGCCGAGACGGGGCCAGGGGACTGGGGTTCCTGGAGGGTTTTAGGACGGGCTGTGGAGAAGGGGAAGTGAGAACGGAGGGACAGGGTCTGGGGAAGAAGGCAGAGAATAATAGGACCGAAACTGAAACCCAGGGCACGTTTGCAGCTCAGAAAGTCTGAGCTTCGAAGAAGTTGGAGACCGAGAGGCACGATTATAACGGTAATAGTAGCTGACGTTTATTGATCGAGTACTGTGTTGATCGAGTACTGTGTGTCAAGCAATCTCTGTGTAAATGGATGCTCTCATTTAAGCGCCACAACGACTTTCTGGGGTGGGGACTTGATTTAGCCCCGTTTTGCAGATGAGAAAACTGAGGCACAAGAGAGGTAAAATTACTTGCCCAGAGTCACACAGCCAGTAAGTGGCAGAGTCGGAATTTGAACTCAGGTCTGACTGATCTGCCCGAGTTCCTACCCTCTATTATTTTTTGAAGGGGAATTTCAGAATACTTTTACATCCACTTGGATCTTCACTTCTCAGTAAAGTAGGCCAGAGATCATTGTTTTCATTTTACAGAAGGTGAGGGACTTGTCCGAAATGATACAGCTAATAAAGATTGGAACAGGGACGGGAATCCATGGCTCCTGACTCCTATCTTATGTGATTTCCTCCCCACGATGCTGTATATGTGCTTTTAATAAGTTAGAAAGAGCCTGTTTTGGAGCCATACAGACCTAAGATCAAATCAGGCTCAGCCTCCTAGTAGCTATTTGATCTTGGACAAGTCACTCAGCCCCTCCTAAAATTCAGTTGTATCTTAATCCATGATTTTTGCATGTGGCTGATAAAAACAGTATGTGAATTGTCAACCATTATAAATTTGCACATAAGTGACTACAGCTATTCAAAAGGGCTCGGGGGTCATTTAGTGGAGCCAAGGTGAAAGCACTGGTCTGGAAATCAGAAGACTTGAGGTCAAATCCTTGCCCTCCATGTCCTAGCTGTGTGTTTGGCAAGTTACCGAGGTTCTCTGAGCCTTGGTTTCATCGTCTTTGAAAATGGAGACAATACTCTCATAGCTCATAGTACTAATCATCTGAGATCAGTCTAATACTCTCCACCAAAAAGCACCGCTTACTCTCCTGCGCTCCCTTATTTACAACTCTTTGATCCCCAGCAAATGGTTTGATTGTTTTCCAAAGGATAGGTAAACGGAATTATTTTCATGATTAAAATACAGGCTGGAGTGCTTGCTTTGGCAGCAGGTATACTAAAATTGGAAAGAGACAGAGAAGATTAGCATGGTCCCTGCACAAGGATGACATGCAAATTTGTGAAGCGTTCCATGTTTTTACTTTAAAAAAAAGATACAAGCTAGATGTCTTGGCAGCCCGAGGGGATACGCCTCAGATAAATTCAAGGTCATGCACTCAGCAGAGCCACATCCACCATTAGAGCAACTGGAAAGAATATTGAGAAGACACACCAGGCAGTAAACCCTAAAGTGTATGTTGATGATAGGTAATAAATCACCGTGTTGGGAAGACGTCTCCTTGAGGACTGTGCTGTAATGAGCTGGTAAAGCTCTGGGGAACACTCCTTTTCTAGGAATGCCCCCCTAAACGGGAATAATGTAGTGCCTCTCTCACAGGCTTGTAATTTATGTGTCTGGTGCAGGACCTGCCACGAAACAGGTGCCCCAGAAATGTTATTAAATCTGTATCTGGGGGCTGGCCCTGTGGCGTAGTGGTTAAGTTCAGCACACCCTGCTTCAGCGGCCCAGATTTGCAGGTTTGGATCCCAGGCGCAGACCTATACCACTCATCAGCCATGCTGTGGTGGCAACCAACATATAAAGTGGAAGAAGATTGGCACAGATGTTAGCTCAGGGCTAATCTTCCTCAGCAAGAAAAAAAAAAAGTCATGTCAATAAGAAGTGCACCTTTTATTGAGTTCTATGATGATGAGGAAGGCATCTCTGATGTTCAGGGACCCTGAGGAAGGCCTGGGAAGGTTAGGTAGCTGAGTGCAGTTGCCTCCTGATTGATCCTCTCGTCTTGGAGAGCCAGGGAGGCTGGAACATACTGGTTGCAGATGCCACATAGGCAAAAAGACAGCTCTGCTGTCTCCTTAAGTGGAACTTCAGTAATGTCCCAGAAGTTCAAAACGTGATGCTTCCATGAAGCATTGTATTCAGTGTTGGCTTCGCATCTCGGTCACCTGTGACACTTTTGGAAACTGCATATTGCCAGGCACCACCCCTGAGGTACTTGGTAGGTCTAGGATGGCCCTGAAATCTGTGTTTTTTAAAGCTGATTGACTCTGATGCCCAGGCCAGGGGTGAGAACCATTGCCCTGTGGATATGATTGTCAGGCAGACAGTAATTCTCCCTCTGCCCCGGAAGCAACTTTCCCTTCTGACCTAGATTCAGGCGCCTTGACTTGTTCAAGGATGGACTGAGGCCAGAGGCTGGGGTTCTCTTCTTTGTAGTCATGTCTTAGCTGGTTTAGAGTAACCACACTGTCACGGAAAGAATCAAGTGTCCTTTCAACAGCCTGGTGACTGGATATGTGGGTCAGGATACACCTGGTAGGGTCATGGAACTATGCAGAGTCCAAGCAAAGGTTTCTCAGGCTGCAGAGTCCAAGCAAAGATTTCTCAGACTGGCGTGATTTGCAATGCTTGCACTGTGGGCGGATGCTCTGGGAGCAGCAGGGAGGGAACGAGGACTGGTCTGCTCTGGTCTAAGGGGCTGCAGAACTCCTCAAAATGAGGCCTCCAGGGATCTCCTGTTCTCACATCAACATCCTGAACGGCGCTGTCTTCATTCCTGTTGACTCCCAACCCTTCTAGCTGTTCTCTACTAAGCCTTTTTCCCTGGGCTCTTAGAATTTCTTTTCCCCCCAAAATGGATTCCCCTAAATAAACATTTGGGCCTGTTTTATTTAAAGCGTTGAAGTGCTAATCTAAGAGAAGTAAGAATGTGCAGGAGAAAGTGACAAACATGGCAGAATTACAGACATTCTAGAAATTTCAGAAGTCCCCACAGCCATAGTCCCTTGTGCAATGTTCCGGAATCTCTATCGTATAGTTCTCGGAAACTCCAGCTTCCTCTTTCCCTTTGTTCCTGAAAGTCCTCTTTCAGAACTTTGCAGCCTCTGGGTCTTATGGTAAAACAGCTCTCATTTATTGTATACATACCATGTGGCAGACACTGGGCTAAGTTCTCCACATATATTATGGAATTTAAAAATCATAGTAACCCAGTTTGATCATTATTATCCCCATTTTTCAGAGAAGGGAACTGAGGCTCAAGAAGCTTGAAAGTTCCTTGCCCAAGATTATACAACTAGGATGTCCCTTTATTAAAAGTCCTTGATATAGACATAGACCTGAAGAAACAATGACAGTCATCTCACATGTTTCTTTGAGGATGAGATGGAGTATAACATTGGGAATAAGATAGGTCAGAAGAGATGAAGGGGAAATTATAGGTCATTCAGGTGCCTCAAACCTCTCTTCTTCCTAAGAGGGCAGCCGCACCCTGGGGATGGTGGTAGGAGTCCTGTCCTCTGTCTCCTCCTCTTGTCAGGATCCTGAAGGTTTCATAGAACAGCATCCTGGTCAGCACGGCTTTCTCACTTGTCTGCTGTAGCACAAAATGAAACAAAGCTGGGGCACCCTTGGACACACACACGTTCTCCTAGCCAGGTGGAACTGGGGGGAGCAGATGGTAGGGACCCAGACTAGGCAGGCAGTGGGTTCTCTGTTAACTCTCAGGGGATTTCTTTTTTACAGTTGATGTCAGTGTTTAAAACTGAAACTCTATGCAGGTGACTTTGTTTTTAAACCAGAGTTATAGTACTTGGAAAAAAATTTAACCTTCTGCTTTGGCACTGTGTTGAGAATGGGGATTTTATTTGTTTGTCTGTCTGTCTCCTGGAGTTCTTTATTGTGGTCATGAATGAAGGAGGTGGGAACAGAACTCACTGATGTGGTAAGTTAGGCAGCATTTATTCTTTTAGGTCCTACTAAGTGCTAGGCACTGACGATGCAGAAGCGAATGGAGTCTTTGCCTTCAGGGACCTCATACTCTAGTCCAGGAGACAGGCGACCATAGTCCAGTGGGGTAAGTGCTGTGATCGGATATGTTTAGAGTACTACGGACACGCAGGAGAGGGGACCTAACCCCCTCAGCCTGCTCATAGAATGCTTTCTCTGAAGACACCAGGTCTAAGTTGAGTTCCCAGAAGATCAGGTGGGCAGCATATGAGGAGAGAAAGTGTAGGAATGGTCCAAGCAGAAGAACCTGCATGTGCAAAAGTCCAGAGGGAGGGGCCGGCCCGGTGGCACAGCGGTTAAGTTTGCACGTTCCGCTTCTCGGCAGCCTGGGGTTTGCTGGTTCGGATCCCGGGTGTGGACATGGCAGCGCTTGGCAAAAGCCATGCTGTGGTAGGTGTCCCATGTATGAAGTAGAGGAAGATGGGCATGGATGTTAGCTCAGGGCTGGTCTTCCTCAGCAAAAAGAGGAGGATTGGCAGTGGTTAGCTCAGGGCTAATCTTCCTCAAAAAAAAAAAAGTCCAGAGGGAAGTGAAAACGTGGTGTGTCTATTAACGAGTATTTATTGAGTGTCTCCAGTGCACTCAGTATGCATTCCTGTGAGGCAGGTATCTGCTGAACCAGGCTCAGATGGGACTAGCCTGAAGTCACAGGATTCCACACCCTGTACCACTTGTACATTACTTTCCCTCTGGGCCTCACGCTGTGGGGTATAGAGCCAGGCCTTCCACCCTCGTTTTCTCATTCTTGCCTCTGAGGGTGAAACTTGGCAGGCACGTCCCCAGGGACTTGCACAATTGACAGGGGATTTCCCTGTGTCCAGAGTGGGAGGAATGCTGCCACCCAGTGCAACGCCAAGTTATCATGATTGTCTGGCCCTCTCCTAGCAGCTCTGCAGCTCTCTGGGATGCTTCCAAGCCTTCCCTACCCTGAATCGGGTATGAGGGATCCTTGTTTTAGAGGAGAAAAAGCAAAGATGACACGAGGTTTGTCTGTGGCTCAGGTCATTGGGGATCACCCTCAAGAACACCGGCCTGGGTTCTAGTATCAGCTCTGCCACTCATTAGAATGAGGAAATCACCCCACGCTCTGTTCTTTTCAGTTCTTTGATAAAATAAACGGGTTGACCAAAGTCAGTAAACTCGGGCACGCGGGCTGTGTCTACCCCCACCTGTCTTCTGTGCCACTGATGAACCTTCACAGCTCCCTTTTCACCCCAAAACCTGCACACCTCTTTACCCTATGCTCCTCAAGCAACACTCTTTCCTGCCAAGATAAGATGAGGCCTCCACATCCTTCTCAATATAATATTGCAGCCCCAGAAGTGTTTATGAGACATGAATCTTCTTTGATCCAACACTTGTCCAGCTCTGACAACTCTGAAACTGAAGCAGGCATTGGACTGCTTGCCCAACAGTGGTTGCTCCAGCAACCCAGGGAGCAACGGTGTGGCTAGAAATCTGGGGTCTTGGGCACAAGATTTCACCAAGGGCCCCCTTTGCCCTTGGTTAGTTACACAATCAGCAGCCCACCAGGCAGGGACTGCAGGGTCATCTTTGTACCTGTCAAAGGGACAAAAGCAGCTGCAGACAGGGCCCTGCGCCCTGCTGTGGCCCAGTCTTGTTCTCTGGAGCGACAAGAGAGTTAGGCCTCAGCAAACTAAGCAACAGAGACTCTGCAACTCCGTTCAAGTAAGTTTCCTGATGTCAGCAGATGTAGAATGCTATGGGACTTACGAGCTTTCTGGTAATCTTAATTGACAAGAAGTAGGGGATAGAGAATGTAGGGAAAGGGTTTCTTTGCCAACCCTGGGAGAAACTTCCAGAAGTTGCCCTAAGTCTCTGATTCGCTTCCATTCAAAATGCTTGTGCTAAAGAGGAAAAAGTCCTGAGTGGTGGGACAGCAAGATTACTTTGAGACGGGGAAGCCAGAAGAGGCGCAGCAAGTGGGTGTGCCTGGCACACCAAGAGGCATTGGAATGTATGAGCTTTGCTCAGGGAAAGGAGCTCTCCCTGAGAGCCCAGAACTCCTTTAGAACCCCGCCAACTGAGGCCGCCAACATCCCCTGCTGGGGGGCGAGCTGTTACAAGCTGTGAGCTGAAGAACTTCATTCCTCCACAATTTCCCGGTTGTGCCCTGCTGATTAATTATTAAATCTCAGAACAATGTACCCAGCATGCGAGGCATTTCACTAAATCACACAAGGCGGCTTGTTTGTGACCATGGGGATTGCAGACAGCCTGGGGAGAGGCACATAAGACGTTAGTTACCTTCACCCAGTGCCCTATTCTT